TGCACAGTGATTACAGCACTGCTTGAAAGAGGCGGACTGCCTTCATCGGTAGCGATTATAGTTACACTGTATTGTGATAGAGTCTCCCTGTCAAGCTGACCGTTAACTATCAGTGAGTAATAGTTTTTGTAATTTGACTTTAATTTAAATTGGATGGAATCTTTCAATTTACAAGTGGTGAGGCCATTTTGCCCCCCGTCTTTATCCGTTACAGTCACAAGTGCAACTACTGTTCCAATTTCAGCATTTTCCTTTACTGGGCTCATAAGTGAAGTTACTGAAATCTGTGGTGCATTGTCATTGACATCAACAATCTCTAACAGCACTTTAGAATAACCGCTACGAGGGGAAGCGCCTTGGTCGCTAGCGCGCACTCGTAATTCATATGCAGTGTTTTCCTCGTAATCCAGATTACCCTTCACAATGATTTCACCGCTCTCAGGAATAACAATGAACTTTTCAGGGGAATCTACATTTCCTCTTTTCATTAAAGAATACCTGACGTCTGAGTTTGAACCCTCGTCCAAGTCTGTTGCATTTAATTTGAGTATTGTTGTACCTATAGGCACACTTTCACTGACGATTACTTTATGAAGCAGCTTGCTAAATGAAGGCGTGTTATCGTTAACGTCTATGACATTCACAAAAATCTGCATGGTGCCAGATCTCACAGGCTTTCCCCCATCAACGGCTGTCAATGTTAGTTTAATAACGGATTGTTTCTCTCGATCTAAAGCTTTTTGCAGCACTAACTCAGCAGACAAATGGTCTCCTCCGCTACTGACATCTATGGAGAAATGCTCGTTTGGACTTAATTTGTAGGATTTCACTGAATTGCTGCCAGTGTCTGCATCCTGAGCTGCCGGGAGCGGATACCTCTCTCCCGTTGAAGACAATTCGGAGATATTAAACACATGGATTTGTTCAAGGAATGTCGGAGCGTTATCGTTGACGTCCACAATGCTGACTTCAATGCGATAAATATTTATGGGATGGTTTAACAGTCCCTCTATATTTAAAGAACACTTTGGTAAATTAGGACAAAGCTCTTCTCGGTCTATTCTTTCGCCAACGAACAAAGCTCCTGTCCGTAAATTAGCCTCAAAATATGCCTTACTGTATCCCGATACAATCCGAAATCCTCGTTCCTCCAGTTGTTGTGTATTAATGTTCAAATCCTTCGCGATATTCCCCACTACCGTGCCTTTGTCCACCTCCTCAGAAACGGAGTAGGAAATCTGAGCTACACAGCAGCCGGATAAACAAAGAGTAATGGCGAACAACATCCATTCCGCCTCTCTGTGGTGTCGGAGACTCATTCTGTTATGCAGATATTATTCCAGGGAAATAAACGCACTTCATTCACTAATGCAGACAAATATCCGAAAGACTACCAAGCTCTCTACACGCAGATACCATCGTTCAAGACGAGACGATTTACTAACCCGGACAGAAACGCAGAGGCTGTTTCTTATTTCACCAACAGTGAAGGTGGAGCTTTAACTCATAATTTACATCAGTGAGTTTGTGGTCTAGGGCGACATCTAGTGTTCCCTTTATCGAGAACAGTTTAATATTTAGAGATTGTTTGTTTTCCCAAACACACCAGAAATGGATCACGAATATCAGATGTCATAATATATTACCGTTTTGTGTTCCAGAAAACGTCGTGCACACTAAAAGAAGCCAGGGAAAATGGAACTACGCAATCAGAGAAGAGTTTTGTTAAGCAGTAAAGAAAAAATCTTCACATTCAGTTAAAACATTTTCAAGTTATATAACCAACAACTTTGCCTTTCCAGGTGAACATATTAGGTACTGTAAATTATATGGTACAAATTATGGAACAGCTGATCATTTATGGGCATGTAACTTCAAAATTTTATTTATACAAGCTTATGGTGTTGAGACTCACAGATAAGCTATTTCAGGACATGAAGCTAAACACGAAAGACTCGCAGACAAAGCGAAATCAGCACCGCGGAGAGCGCCTTTCCAATTATGCAGCTTCAGACCATATAATTACTAGTTATTTACTGTATTACACCAGCACTTTTCATATAGTCGATTGATTAAGAAAATACTTCAGTGAGGGA